TTCCCCCAAACCCTGTCTCTCTTTTGTCTGCAAAAACCTTCTCTCAACTAGTAGTAATTGTGTGGGAAGTGGAAAACAAATTGACCCAAAACAAAACCACGACACTGTTTCTTGTCCTTTTGCTGTGCACCTCTCAGAAAGGTTTGAATGATTAAAACTATAGCCCACCCACTCACATTGAAGAAAACTGCTTAGAAGCAAAAATTTAGGTATCACATAATTAAAACAAAGCACATACAGATGCCAAAAAATAAATAACTAAAAAAAAAAAAGACTATCCTTGTGAAGGAAAATAACAGGTGCCCTGTAAATCATGCTGAATTTATCTCACCTGCCAAAAGTGACTCTCCATAACATAGCTGTTCCCCCATATTTTGCATTTCCATTATGAACAGCTAAAGCAAATTTTCAAGAAGCCAGTTACACTGCAATACACTGGCATAAACAATTTGAAAACTCATTGCAGGCCTTATCTAGATAGGATAGATAGGTATCTTGTAGCTAGATCATGGGATCTACATCTGTCTCTGATCAAATGAGAGACTTTTAACACCACATTCCTTTTTTGCTCATTCAGCACACCATTTTTAATACTGTTGTTGGTTAGACACATTTTATTAGTAATCATGGTAGATTATTAATAATCACTCATTTTGTGTTTCAGCTGCACTTTCACTGCAATTCAGACTTAAAGGAAGAACCATATGGGAGCTGTGTTCCAGCCAAGTGAAGTAACAGCCACCCTCATAAGAGGCCCTAATTTATTTATTTGTCATCTCATTTCCTTTTATCTTCTTTCATTTTTCAACAGTCCCTTTGCTACACAGATCTCTGTAGAGAAAATAATAATGCAGTACTGGCAGCAAAGCTCGAAATGAAGAACAGGTGTTCCTATTTTAAAATAAAATTGATTTCACCCACACTGCCACATCCACGTACTCACAAGCACCGAGAACTGTGCGTCCAAGAGGTCTGTCATCTGTCAGGCGTCAGGTGCCACTAGGTGTGCTGCTGGGTGTCTTTACAGCATTCAGATTTCCTTTGGTTCACAATCTGGGTGTCCTGCAATGATGGACATAGATTTCATGGGGCCTTGATGATCCCCTAAGCAAAGGGTCATCAGCACATTCCAAGTCTCCACCTCCTCTGCTGCTGTTTGTTGTTTGTCCTGGTACTGCCACTCAGAGACATCCCCATCAGCACCAACCTACACCTTTCTGTTGCATTTCTCTCTGTCCAGCTAAACAAAGAGCCATTTGTCAGGACTTAGCAGGGATGATGCAGACAGTTGCTGGCCCCAAAGTGCTCCAGGATGTGGGTATGCAGGAATGCCTGCTCATCTGCAGGTAACCTGCAGCAGTCCTGGCACTATTCACAACCACCTGCTGTGCAAATACTGCGTAGGAGACGCTGAGAAGGCGAGCACAACAAGCTAAGACAGAGGCAGAAGTGGCTTCAGCCCCACCCTCTTCCCACACAGGATGCACTTGATGTTGCTACTTGGAAAATCTGTGTTACTTGTCTCCTCTGATCTATGAACTGTGGACAAAAGAAAGAAACATTTATTTTGTACCTACCTGATTAAAAATTGTATCTTTGGATTCTCTGCAACCACGGGTGAAAAAACTTCAGGGATCACCTTCCTCAACTGTGCTACAGTACTAAACAACAATCTCTTAAATTCAAGATATTCAGATACCATCCTTTTGCAAAGACTGATGATTTCTGTGAGCACTTAAGACTTTGTTACATGGTAAGCTTTTTTGCAGAGGTTAGTTCTAAACATCTCCTAATAGCAGGAACTTATACATTATTTTGCTTTCTTAATGGAAGTAAATTCACTTCAGATCAAAAATTAATAGGAAACATTTACCTCAGTATTTTTCAAACAATTTTCTTTCTGTAATGTCTTTGCTGATAGGCTGGTTAGCTTATTTCAGATTCACTTGATTCATTAAAAAGTCAAGATAGAACAGTTTGAGTTGACTCTCCTGTATTTTTCAATATTGATTAAATTTCCATGAGGTTTTATTTATTTATTTATTATTATTCCCAATCATCGTATGAGTATATAATTTTTTATCAATGTAGAAGACAGTTAAATTGAAACTTTCACAAAAATATATTTAAAAAAAAGTGAAATTCTAACTCTGCTCAGAGAGGACTATGTTTTCCACAGTGAAACATTTGAATGACAATAATTTGTGTTTGTTTAAAACATGATAGATTGCTTCATAACCATCTGTATTGTGAGATCTGCAGGGTATAGAAAATAGTATAAAACAGTAAACTAATGAACTCTGTATCGTGAGATATGTTCCCAGATTACAAATTCATACGCTGGATCTGAAACAGCACAGTAAAGTCTTGTCAATCACTGCTCAGTACATTCTAAAAATACATGTTCATGGAAGACTGAGAGATAATGCATTTTGGAACTATCCACTTACCTGTCAGATGTTCATGTGAATTGGGATTTTAAAAGTATACAGTACATGAAAATATTCAAGATGTTTAAAAGGTATGGGTAATCCACAGAAAAGAATTGAAGAAAGTGTCCTGCAATTATAATGAAATAAAAAAAATAGCACATATCGAGCTAAGAACACTCAACTGAATTGTACAGATCAACATCAAAAAACTAGACAAAAATCAATGGCCTGCACCACGAGTCCAGCAAACATTAGCAAGGAACAGAGTAAAAGTGAGTGCTAGTAGTGAATATTTGCAGTGAAATTTTAGATTATGCATAGAGAGAGAAACGTATTACAAAAAATTTCCTCACTGAAAGGGTAGGTACACACTGGAACAGGCTACCCACAGAAGTGGTGGAGTCACTATGGCTGGGTGCATCTAAGGAGTGCAGAGATGTGACACAGAGGGACATGGTTTAATCATATAATTATATGTCAAAATCCAGTATTTTTATTAAATTCAGTTGGGGATTTTTAGTCCCCTTGCGTGAATGTTTGCTCCCAGTTTTGATACTTTTGATATTTTGTTCTGTGTTTTTTTGTTGTTGTTGTTGTTGTTGTTGTTTTTTTCTTTTTATATCTCCCCAGAAGGAAATAAAGGCACAAAGGACAGTTATTTTGCGAAAATACTAATAGTTGTAAGTGGGTGTCTCCATCCTTCGTGGACTGGTTCAGTGCTGGTGAGCAGTGTTTGCTCGCTGTGGCATCACATTGTTTCCATGAAGACATATGATGGATGCAGCGGAGTACATCATATTTTGAGTGCATATATAAAAGTCTTACATTTGATGGTTCAGCTGTGGAAGGTACTTAAAAAACAACTGTATGAGTTTTCACTTCATATTGTATTCTATATAGATGTGGGTTTGTTTTTTTTTTTCAGTTTTTCTTGCCATGCTAGAAGTGCTGAGCCCCTCGAACTATATTTTCCTTGCATTAGTCTTATTTTGTAAATTTCTTTTCAGGTTCTGTTGCAAATGCAGTGGGTGTAAAGTAATTGAGGCTTTTATGCAAGCGTATTTTTTAGATGGTTGATGGTTTTATGAAGGAACTACTAATGTCTGAGTTTAAATGCACTTAGTAGTCCACAGGTTGCTATTTCAGTTCATGTTCATCATGCAACCAGAAGCTTACTGGATAAATATCACTATAAAAACAGCCTAATTTGTATCCTTAGACCATCACAGCTGAGGCCATTAAAATACAATAAATCATTCTGCCTAGTTTTGTACAGACTCCAGTATCAGCATAGAACAGAGTAAACCCTAATTTCCTTTTTACACAACCCATGCACAAGAAATGCATCTGACCTGAAAGTGACATGCCTGTAATTAAAGGAAAAAAAAAAAAAAAAAAAGTAGTAATGAAGTTATTATACATAAAAAGTAAATGAACAAATGAAAATAACAAAGGACATGTTATGGAAAATTGAAACAGAATGAGGCATTATGCTCATAATGTAACTTGAAAATACCTTGTAAGATTTGCTAATTAAACCAACACTACTGGGAGAAAAATCACACAAGGTTATCTACACAGTATTTTCCATCTTGTATAAAAATACATTTGCCTTTCTTAAAACTAGATCACTATTTCATATTTTTTCCTCTCCTCTCACTACTAAGTCTTTGAAAGAACAGTCTTAGTTGAAAGCTATTAATAAGTTGGGATGACACGCCTTTTTTTTCCAAGATTTTTCCTGCTGTGTACTTTTTTCATATTATTCTTTGGTTTCCCTGGAAAGTTTTAAAGCACATTACAGAGACAGCACGTATGTCTCAAATCCTTCTGTACCTCCTCTAAAACAAAAACTCTCAGGATGGAAATGGTGGTCATGTATTTGCAAAATAAGTTGTTCACTGAGCCTCTCATGTTTCAAAGTCCACATAAAGGAAATAATGAAGAAAAGGTATTTTTTGGAACATGCATATTCCTTGTCGGTCATGCAGATTTCCTCTATCTACATGGACATTACAAAGTGGTGAAATGCTACCCTTTGCCCAGCAAAAGGCTGAGAACTATTGTTTTTGTGTACTTGTGTGTAAGAGTGGGGAGGGAAGATACAAGAGTGAGGGAAGAAGGGTTTAAATTTCTGCAGTAGTAGTAGGACCCATTTGGTGCTGTCTCTTGCTCTGACCAAAGCAAGTATGTGAAGAGGGGTCTCATCTCACATGGCAGGAATTCTTATCTGTATTAAAAGAATGTCAGGTGTGATTCTTCTCTTCAGGTGCATTTATTAGACTCTTTCCTCTTCAGCAGTTTATCATTCCTTTACACGTAATAATAGATCATTCACTTATGAAAGGGTTGTAACCTCACTGGTAAAAATTGAGACTTTTATTAATAGGAAGAAAAACGTTATCATGAACTGAGATGAGTTATGAAAAAGGAATTAATTTTGTCACAAAGATTTCCCCATCAAACCACTAAAACCTCAGTTAGTTTTTGCATTTTGCTCAAAATTAAGATTTAGTTTATTTTATGCATTTTTTCATTTATTTTTACATATGTTTCCATTTACAATTCACAAATGTACAATTTAAAAATTCATTGTAAGCCAGGTCCAAGAAATTAAATACACTGATCAGAATTCACACTCTGCTAGCAGAGGGTAGACACCTCTGACAGATCTTGAGTTTCAGTTCAGTACTAGCTGGAGAATCCCTTTAAAGCTGAGCTTTATTCACCACTGTCTGAAGTATGCAAAGATTAATTTTAAGAAAGGCAAGTTTTAATGTAGATTGCCAACATTTGAAGCTTATTGCTGTTTTACTTAAATTGTTAAAATACAGGTGTTTGGTTCCTATAGACAGGACATTACATAAATGCAACTATGCCCTTCGGTAAACATACTAGAACGTGGCCTGTGTTTGCCCTAATTTTAAATAACTTCTGCATGAGCTTTATAAAAACTTGCTTGGAATAGACAGATTTACCAGGGTACCAATTAAAATTACCTTTTAATAAAGAAATAAAGTTCCCTTGCTTAGTACTTTAAAGAAAATTTAAACAACAGGCTGGCTGATCCCAGCATTTAAAGATGCTGACTGAAAATCACGCCTGGAGGCAAGATGTCATTCCTCCTTCTGTATATATGCGCAGAGTATAAGTGAACGCGAAAATATAGGTTTTACGTAAAAATAGTATGGAATAAGGAGTGGAGAATGTGATGGTTTTAATCTAGGCCTTCCTTGGTAACCAGTTTGTAACCAAGGAAGGAGCCAAGTACCCAGTATTCCACACAATTTTTACGTAAACCAGAGTATAAATAAATCAAAAATTAGAGACCTCGCTCTCTTCTCTTCCGGCGAGGTCTAGGAACAGTGAGTCCCTGCGTTAGTCTCGCTTATCTAAGGCTGAGGCCTGCAGAGTCCGCTGTCCTACCACGTGGAAGTTTGGAGAGTGCTGGCTGTAACTGCCAATCCTACTGTTCTAAGGGACGTGGTAAAATCTATTTTGTTAGTTATTAGTATAGTTTAATCTAATATACCTGTTCAGTGTCCCTTTTGTTCCCTTTTGTCCCCTTTTTCCCTTTCCCTATCCCTGCGGGGGGTGGACCCCCTTTTTCTGTGTATATAGCATCTTAACTGTATATAACTGTAATTTGCGTAAATATAGATATATTTTTATATAAGCAGCTTGACTGTGAATTCTTTAATTTTTATAATTTCTTTCTCCTTTAAAGAAGAAGGGAAGGGGACTGCTGTCCTAACTTTCAGACATTTGACAAGGAGCCAAGTCCAAACCGTCACACCTTCAAATTCACATCAAGCAAAGATTTTCCCACTTGGATTGAGAGGGTTCTGATTCTACCATCCAGTCAACAGAGCACTGTTTCTTCAGTACTCAAGGCTGATTCTCCTTAGGCTAGGAAAATTGTTGGAAAAGAAAATTTTTCTGGAGCTGGAGGGAACCTGGTTCCTACCCAAAATATTCCAACAGCCTTCAAAGCTTGTGGGAGATTTCAGCCACACTGTGCCCAGGGAACTTAAAGCATTTCAAAATTCTAAGAACTCTTTGTACAGCAGTTTTTAAAAAAAAAACCCACATGGATAAGTTAGAAGACAGTTTGCAGGATATTATCAATTCAGCTAAGTTGCATTCTGAGTTCACAGTATGATTGTCTCCAATCTAATTCTTCATGACTCTTAGGGTACAGGAATCCAAATAAAGAGTGTTTTGTGGGTTGTCATTCATTAAAAGTTCCTTGTCTTATGTTGTTGTATTTAAAAAAGTCATATTATGTCATGCTATACTTGCCAACTCTAATGGAAGGCTTTCCAGCCTAATGGAACCTGAAAGCTAGGAGCACCAATGACAGTTCAGCACCTCCATCAGGACTGTGTCAACAACTTCTAACCTGTGCTTTTTTCAGCAGGGATTTTTGAAATGTTCCCCTGTTCCCCAACCCTCTTTTTTTTTGTTTCCCTGTTCCATAGATGACCAAAAAGCCCACAATTCTAAAGAAATCCTTCTGAAGGAACTACTCACCCTCCATTCCAAGAAATATTTCTGCCTCTCTCCCTTAAAGAAGAAAATTTAGCACAAAATGTAGCGTTTGCTTTTGCTTTTGTCAGCATCTGAGGGCCTCTATTGCTTACAGACATTTTGCCATGTCACATGAAATGCTAATTAGTTGTCAGATAGCTGCACACTCTGGGGTTTCTTTGCACAGACGTGGCCATCTCCACTTCCTCAGATAACCTGAATGGACATCAGGCTCCAAGGCTGAGCTCTGGCAATCCACAGTGCAGATGAAGGAGGAGGTCAGATCCAGCGCTGCCAGGGTTACGCAGTTTGTTGTGCACAGCCATGCCCACAGGCAGTCAGGCTGTTGGCAATTCAGAAGAAAGAACTAATGGCCTTGATGGGCCAGTTAATTTCAAATGCTTCTCCATCAAGTGATCAGTCTCTCCCATGCCTCAGAGATCGTAGCACCTTTGATAGGCATGGAATGGGAATTCATGATCAAGCCTTTCTCCTTCCAGGCATGAAAATGCTGTCTCCTTCTGTGGACAATTTCCCGTATCCACAGAGAACTTGGAAGAGTGGTTATCTCATGAAAGCATGGATACCATCCGAGGAGCCTGTCTGTGAGTGTTTTCAAGGTGACGGCTCTCCCTTTGTTCTCAAGAGAAGAAAACAGCTACAACTACTCAGATAAAGCCCAGGACTAACAACTTCCCAGTTACAGTTTCTCATTTAAGCTCTTCCTCCACCACCCCCAGTCCCCAACAACACAATGAAACTACAAGCAATGTCAGCAGTGTGTACAGGACTGGATGCTGTCCTTGCTCCTAGGATGCAGGTATCTCTCCAGAAATTAGTCTCTGTTGATTACACATGTGGTCTGATGACTTCAGAATCAATAGGACAACACCAGGTTGCAATCAAGCAGTATTTATTTCAAGAAGCAGCCACATACCATTTTTGTTCTGTGGCCCACAAGCAGAGAAACAGCCCTGTGGTACAGCTGGAAGGCTCGTGAGTCAAGGTGGTAACAGCAGATGCCAGCAGTGCACACTGTGATCTGGCTCCCTGGATACTTAGGCACATCTGAACCCAAGAAGCGTGTCAGGAATTGGTTCCTAAATGTGATGGACTGAATGGAAGCTTCAGATGAAGTTTATCAGAGAGACCTTCCCATTGAGACAGAGGGGTCATAAAAAGCTCCCTTGCTTTCCAAACTCCTTCTCAAGAGATCAGTCTTGGTGTGGCTGGATCCAGTCCTAGTCCTAGACTTAGTCAACAACTTATGTCTAAAGGATTGCATAGGTGTAACTGAACTTTTATATGACTTTGTCCTGCAGGATTAGGGATGGCAAATCAAATACATTAATATGAAGTAAATAATTTAATTAACGATAGCATTTAAACCAAAAGACTTTATTCAGAATTGTGACTACTAGTATAGTGCTAGAATCATTAAATCAATGATTTCAAAGATAGGTTAATAATTATTACATAGAGATTGATGTTACTCACTGTAACATCTCACACTAGAAGACAAGGGTAACTGAGGTTCTTGTTAATAGATCTCTTGGGGCAGATTAGAGTAAATGGATATTGAACAATAGGTGTTTACAAGTATATTTTTATATGTAGGGTTTAGAACAATTTGATCGCAATGGAAAGCAAGTATACAGGCATTTGGGTTATTATTATTTGGTAATACAGCAACATAAAACCATTAAAATAACACCTTAGAAAACATATAAGGAAAAGAAGGAAAGAGAAGGAAAGGATAAGAGTAGATCCACCTGTGAATCCAGCAATGAGACTTGATTGTTGCAATTTAGATGTCCACTGGCAGTCTTGATCCCTCAGGCGTGGGAGAAGCCCATGGAACACAAATTTCAGTGGGCTGATACATGTTTGGGTTCAGGTGGAAACGCCCAGGTACCTCCCCTGGGCGAAGGGAGCTTCACACCATCTGTTGTGACACTGTGTATCACAGCAGTGCTCTGGTGGAGGGCCCCTGAAATGAGTCTGGAGGTGCTTCAGTGGGACTGGGACGGTTTGTCACACCTTTAAGACGTGACAGCTTCCTCTCACATCAGCACCACTGAGCCAGCTATGCCCCATAATAGGGGATGATGCCCATGTGTGAATGTCCCCTGTGAATGTAAATGTCCCAACACCTTCCCTGGAGGCTGGAGGAGGGGGAGGGGGAAGGGTTTTTGCAAGGGAATCAGTTGTGAATGGGAGGACATTGGCATGACAAAAAGCACTATCCCACCTCCGCGGGGTCTGCTTGGAACCCACCACACAAAATCCTCCTCACCCTCGGTTGGGTGGGTGGTGCCAGACAACAGCCACCTCTGAAAACAGCAGATTGTTTTGAGTGATTGTTTTGAGTGATTGACATTCTAATCTCTCACACAATAAAAGGCAAAGTAACCCTGAGGAAGTCCCCACTCAAGGGAGGAATCTCCACAGGCACTCCTGTTAGAGGGAGCATGTTAGAAGTCCCTGCTGTAAAAAGTGGGACTGGGCTTTCACGGTATAAAGTGACTGACTATCACTAATATGTTTTTAGGCCAGCTGTGTCAGCTCAGCAGCCTTTAGTTCAGAACCTGTAGATAAACAACGAATATCATCCTTGCCCACCACATTCTCAGCAGTGTCAGTTTCTGTCAGGACATGTTTTTCACACCCTTCGAATGAGGGACTGGTGAGTCAGGCTTGTTTCAGCATTCTTCAACACCAAGAGCAACATGAACCCCTTCTCCATCCACCACTGATAGCTTTTGCAAAAAGGGTGAAGGTTTGAGCTGTTTTACCCCCTCTTAGGCAAAGCATCCTGACACAGTGGATGACAGCTCAAACCCACAGAAATGGGGACAAGACTTTTTAGCAGTGTCTGTAACACTGTTGCCCGTAATGAGAACACAAACTAACAGAGTGTCAGTTTATGCGGTGCTTTATTCAGGGCCCGGGGTCCCTGTGGACTCCTGTCCCAAGACAGGTACCCAAAGACCCACATTTTGAACGCATCTTTTATACCATTTTCCAAGCAAGGTTACATGATTGGTTTTACATTTCACAGAAGACATAGCAGTTAAACATAAACTTACATATCACTTCGATTATATTCAAATATTAATCCATTTACCTGACTGTTAATCCATTTACCTAACTGTAAACATCGTGTAATTAAATCCCACCACCAGATTACATCCTATCTCTAGTTGCAAATTTTCTTGTCTCCGGTTCTGCTTGACTTATTGTTTCTTTTTGG